AGGCGTGTGCCACCATGTCTAGCTTTTCGTAGTTTGGAAATAGATGACCAGGATAGTCTAGAATTTGCATTAAACCTCCTGTCTTGTATTTCCAAGTTCTGGGATATGCACATGAACATCTCTGCCTGAGATCATTACTGATTGAGAAAAATTGTCTTTTTAATTTCTCTCAGGCTGCCAGCTGTTTCCATATCTAATCTCCCCTGTGTTTACATGGGAACTCTCAGACAATCTAGTCCCTGTTGAAGGTACCCAGTTGTGGTTATATATTGTTTATGATTTAATAAGCTTTTGGAGGTCAAAATGCAAAGCCAGCCACATCAATAGAGCCAGGCAGCCATACTAGCTAGCCACAGAGGCCAGGCGGTAGTGGTACACACGTTTAATCTCAGGAATCAGGAGACAGAAGCAGATGGATCTCTGTGAGTCCAAGACCACCCTGGACTACAAGAGTGAGTTAGCCAAAAAGAATAACAGAGCTCACGCCTTTAATCTCAGCACTAGGGAGGAATAGAAGGAAAAAGCAAAGGGTCTCATGTGAGATTCAGTGTCCAGACAGAGAGAGCATTGCACTCTGAGGATTCATGGAGACAGGATCACCCCTTTCAGTCTGACATAGAGGTAAAAGCTAGTAGCTGGCTGCTTTGCTTTTCTTTTATTAATTTTGAACCCCAATAACTGTCTTTGGGTTTTTATTATTCATGTTACACCTAGTGACCTCAGTGTTAATAGAAACAGCCTTCATTTCCCACCAGTCAGCACCAGGGTAAATAAAATCCATGAAGGCAGAAAGGGCTAGACTTCTGAGAGGAAAAAATAAGGAAACACAGGTGCTTCTGATGGTAACTTTATCTTTACTGTATCTTGAAAAAAAAATCTCTCTGTAAAATCTCTCTTGCTCATTTACAGTTTTGTAATTAGCTCTGTATCTCTACCCCCAAAGCTCTATTCAGCAGCCTCTCCCAGATACATCCTTTCCTTGGCGCTCTCTCTCTCTCTCCTTCTGTCTCTCTCTCTCCTTCTGTCTCTCTCTGCCCCCCTTTCCTGCATCACTGCTGCTGTCTGCTGCCTCTGCTTCCTCTGCTCTCTTCCTCCTGCTCTCTCACAGCCAAAACTCTTGACAATTATATGTTACAATTTTCAGGACCTGACAAAAACTAGTAACACATGTTAAGTCACATAGTTTCTCTCAGGCTAGGAATGTTACATTGACCCATGTACATAATAGCTCTTAGTTGGTGAAGGTTCCCAGACAGAAAATGACTTAACAAGACTTAACAATGACAATTAATTAGCTGGACCTTGGGCAGTAGGGAGTACATGCAGACTAAAGTTTCTTCAAGTTCTGGCCTTAAATCAGTAAAACAACACCTGGGAAAATGACCTTGAGTATTTGTCTCCAGGGGCAACCAGCCTGCTTTCAATCTACTCTGAAATCTAAAGTTAGCTTGTCTATGTTATGTAAGAGGTGTTGTCTTTGTGACTCAGAATCCTACATCCGTCTGAGTAATCCTAGTATTCTGTTCATCAAAATTAGACAGCCTAAGCATAAGTCATCTTTCTGACTATCCACAGCTATCTGTGTGTCCAGTAAGTGTAAAACACACCATCCAAGGGCTGTGGAAAGCCACAGCTGTTCTCATTAGGAAGGCATAGCAGTGGCACCCAAGAAAGTTACAGGAACAACCAGCCATCCAGTCAATAATCCCATGGCTCTGTCAAATAGGGCTCTCCAGTAATGTCTGGTGAGTCAGCTTTACCAAGTAGGACTCCCCAACTAAACAAAGAGGCAGGTTAGGCTGATTTTGGCAGGAGCAGTCTCTGTAGGGAAGGAGTCTTTAGGCAGTAAACATGGGGGGCAGGAAGCTATGGTGGGCATTTTCTGTATATGCTATCAATATTTCACAGGGACCAAGAGGAAAGGAATTTCCATTTCCCTGAGCCTAATCCACCTTCCCATTTTCACATAGCTGTGCCCATATTAAACAATGCACATTCACTCAGGGCTTCATCAGCTCCCCCTCTCCCACATCCCTGGATCTTTCCTGTCATTACTGAACACTTACTCTTTTGAGAAACAGAAAGAATGTGCATCTCAGTATTTCTCCCATGGACAATCTTGAGTTCTTTTTACCTCTTTTTTTTTTTTTTTTTTTTTTTTTTTTTTTTTTTTAGACAAGGTTTCTCTGTGGCTTTGGAGGCTGTCCTGGAACTAGCTCTTGTAGACCAGGCTGGTTTCTAACTCACAGAGATCCACCTGCTTCTGCCTCCCGAGTGCTGGGATTAAAGGCATGTGCCACCAACACCCGGCTCTTTCTACCTCTTGAGAAATAAAGTTGACATTCTCTTTTAGGTCCTATGCCCATTTCAGTAAAGTTTTTGGTGCATAACTATTTGTAACAGAATTCTTTTTAGTCTTTGTGCCTGTTGGAAGTTAGTGGACTATACAAGGTGAAATTAAATCCTACAGACAAGATAGTCGGGAGTAATGTAAATCTCAAATCCTGACTACTTGGGAGACTGAGGCTCAAGAATCACAAGTTCAAGACCTGCCTGGGTATCTTAGCAAAAGGAAACTAAAAAGAACTGAATTTGTAACTAAACAGTAGAGCACTTGCCTAGCACATATAAGGCCCATCATTCAATCCTCAGCACCATGTTTACAAAAAAAAAAAAGGATTAGAGAAATAGCTCAGCTGTTAAGAGTGATGGTTGTTCTCCCAAAGACCCAGGTTTATTTAGTTCCTAGCACTCATATGACAGCTCACAATTGTCTGTAACTCTAATTCCAGAGGATCTGGTGCTCTCTTCTGGCCTAGAGGGGCACTAGGCTCGCTCATGGTATACAGACATATGGGCAACTATTTAAAAATATTATGTATTAGGCAGGATAGATGTCTTAAAAACAAAACAAAACAAAATCCCCCAAGATCCAAGTAAGTAAATAAATAACACAAATAACATAAATAAATAGACTAAATATAACTATTTAAAAAGTTTATGTACTAGGTAGGAGAGATGGCACAGTGGTTAAGAGCCCTGGCTCCTCTTCCAGAGGACCCACGTTCAATTCCCAGCACCCACATGACAGCTCACACCTATCTGTAACTTTAGTTTGAGGGCTTCTGACACCCTTACACAGATACACATGCAGGCAAAACACCGATGAACATGAGTTAAGAAATAAATATGAGTTAAGAAAAAAAGATTGATTTAAAAAAAAATTATGTGAAGATCAAGTGATGAATGAAGCTTGAAAGTACATGGTTTCATATTTATTTCTTGTGTGTGTATGCTTAGGCTAGTGGGCTGCCACATGAAGAAGCCACAGGTATTGTCCCTCAGCCACTTCCACTGGTTTTATGAGACAGGGCCTCTCATTCGTAGAGCCCACAGATTAGGTTGTTCTGGGATCCACTGTGTCTGCCTCACAAGCACTGCACTCCTAAGTGGTATACCCAGCTTTTTTTTTTTTTTTTTTAAACAAGTGTTCTAGGGATCAAACTCAGGTCATCATGCTTTTAAGGCAAGAACTTTACTGACAGAACCATTCCCCAGCCCTAACATTTCTTGCCTTGGATGAACAATATTGGTTTGTTTGTTTTTTCAGTACTGAGGATTGCATTGCTAGGGTCCCTGCACACATGCTATATAAGCACTGGGCTGATTTTTCTTTCTTTTAATCTTGGTTATTTGGTTTATATCATTGTTTGAATTTATTTTGTTTTGAAACAGGGTCTCACTATGTAGCCTTCCCTGGCTTAGAGCTTGCTGTGTAGATCAAGTTGGCCTTGAACTCATAAGGATCTGCCAGCCATAGCCTCTTAAAAGCTGGGATTAAAGGCATGTGCTACCATGACTAGCTTTATATTTAGTTTATTCATTTATTTTATTTGTGTTATTTATTTACTTACTCAGATTTTGGGGGGGTTTTGTTTTGTTTTGTTTTTTTCTTGAAACAGGGTTTCTCTGTGTAGTTCCTGGCTGTAGACCAGGCTCGCCTTGAACTCAGCAATTCACCTACCTGCCTCTGCCTCCCCAAGTGCTGGGATCAAAGGCATGTACCACCACAGCCCAGCCTATTTATTGTATTCTTTATGAGTGTTCTGCCTTGCATGTATGTCTGTGCACTGTTTACATGCCTGGTGCCCGCGGAGGCCAGAAGAGGGTACCAGATCTCCTGGAACAAATGTCAAGGACAGCTATTAGCCTTCACTTGGATGTTCTTAACTGAACCTGGGTCCCCTGCAACAACAGCAAGTACTCTTAACTACTGAGCCATCTCTCAAGCCCTGGCTTCATTATATAACTTCCAAGAGTACATGCTCAAGATTATAAATTTCCCATATCTCCCCATGCTTGCCTATTACCTCCTTCCCCTTTCTCCCAATGTAACTATCCTAACTGGGTTAGTGTGACATTGCAGTGACTATTTCTAAGCAACCATGAGTCATGACCCAGTATCACACTTCATATACAGTTCTTTTAACAAATTAACATATTGGATGCTCATCCCACAGATTTTTATTGAGTCCTGAATAGATTGTTGACACTGGGCCTGGGCATCTGAAGATGAGACAGGCCCTCCTGCCTCACAGACAGTATATGTCAGGAGGGACAGTGGGTATTTCTGTACCTGGTGCTACTTTCTAAAGATTAGGACCATAGGTGCTAATAGAGACCTGTGAAACCAGAGGAATATCACAGTTCAGTGAGCTCTGAGCAGTTGAAGAACTTTGACCAAGTTGTATATTGATAGATAACAGGAGTTTTTGTAGTTGGATTTTTTTTGTTTGTTTTTGTTTTTCTTTTTTTTTTTTGTTGTTGTTTTTGTTTGTTTGTTTCTTTTTCTGCTTTTTAAGACAGGGTTTCTCTGTGTAGCCCTGACTGTCCTGGAATTCACTCTGTAGACCAGGCTGGCTACTGCCGCCTGAGTACTGGGATTAAAAGGTATATAACACCATCACCTGGCAGGAGTTTTTTTAAAAGATGTAAAACTAGTGTTCACTTTGGCAACACATATATTAAAAAATTTGAATGATACAGAGAAAATAAGCATGGCCCCTGACCAAGAAAGACACACACATTCATGAAGCGTTCCATATTTTTTTTAAAAATGTAAAAATGAAGAGGTTAGCACATTGAACTGCCAGGTACTTGTCACTCATCTTGTGAGACCACAGACACATGGTCAGTTGCATTCCATCTGTACTTCGACTCATCCATGTTCTTCACCGGTTTATTCTGAAGCAGAAGTCAATATATTCATCAAGTTTTTGTCTTCTGCTTGTTCTTGATGCTGTTTCCTTTGGGCACTGAGAGTGTGCTTAATTTGTATTGCTTTTGGAAGTCTTATTATACCTAACATTCTCTCTCTGTCTGTGTGTCTGGAGGTGTACATGTGCTTTTCTGTGTGTGTGTGTGTGCCCATGTGTGCAAGCATGTGTGTGCATGTCTGTGCCTCTGTGTGTGTGTGTGTGTGTGTGTGTGTGTGTGTACCACATGCATGCATGAGTTATGTATACCTGTGGAGGCCATAAGTGGGTGTGGCATCCTCTGTAACCAGAGTTATAGCTGTTTGTGCCATCTGACATGGGCGATAGAAACCAAATTCAGGTTCTCTGGAAGAACAGCAAGTGTGTCTATCCTTCAAGCCATTTCTGTGGGCCTCCTTACATTCTTTTATCCCTCCCACTTGAGTCACATGAACCCCCTACACACCACTTTGTCACAAATGCTTGACCTTTGCTTACCAGTTCTTCTATGTTTTCACTATAGCACACCAGGTCCAGGATTGGAACAATTTACATGGTGCTGGGGATTGAACAGGGCCTCAGCCTCATGCTTCCTAACTAGCATTCTATCTGTTGAGCTACATGCCCAACCTCTTAGTAAATTGCTGATAAATGGATGGATGAACCCCATTATTGTGCAACACTATTCATGGGGAGATGTGGACAAACATTTGCTCATCTCTGATTGCGAACTGGTGATAAAGCAAAAAAGGAACCACCAAAGTCCAGTGTCTCAGATGTTGCAGCTTGGGTGTGGGATCATGTGGGTGCACTGAAAGAAAACTCAAGAGACTCTTTAAGAATGAATTTAGCTGTTGCGGCTGCAGGGGACCTCATCTTCGTGGAACTGAAGTACGTTCCCTGTGCTCATGGCATTTTTATTTTCTCTATATTTACACTTTAGCCAGTTGATTACCATATACTCAGAACAACTTGAATGAGGCTTCCAAAAAGACAATGCCATGTGCAGAGTCTTGATTCATAGGTACCACAGTTTTCCAGTTTCCTGAACCAAGTTTCGCATAGGCCTTTGTCTTCTTGGGAAAGTCCCAACAAAGTTCACATAGGGGGACAAAAGGAATCTGGCTGGTCAAAGAATGGATTAGGCTAGGTGCTTGCTCTCCAGAGCTAGGCCAGGTGCCATTCAACAGATGTTTAAGACAAATTGCTATCCCTGTGGCATCAGGCCAACAGGATACAGCTACTAGTGAGTTTACTATCTTGTCAAAACCCACACCACATCGGTGGCAGCTAGAACTCTGGAGCTCATTGCACAACAGGCAGCTCAGCTGTTTATGACCCTCTCTCAGGTCACTGGTCTGGTTAGAGATGCCTCTCATATTTCTTGGGGACAAAGAGGCCTAGTGAATCTGCTCAGTTTCAAAGACTTGCTGAAACATTTGAACTTCCTGAGTTTTAATGAATTTGCTTTCAAGATGGAATATGTATTCATCATCATCACCATCCAGAGCATATAGCATCTTAACAGTTTCTTCCAAGGTGCAATGTTTTAACTCCGAGGACGTTACTAAACAACATTCATATGGCTTTTCACTCTCCTGAACCTCAAAACTGCCACTTCAAAAATGTACTTGATAGTGTAAGGAGGGGTTGGGGTGCTGGTGGTGGTGATGATGAACATCTCCCATCAACCCAGGGCTTCACAGATGTGAGGTCAGCACTCTTCCATGGAGCTACATTCTAGCCCATGCTTTGTCTAGCTGAAGAATCCCATCCCCCTCCCCACCTCCCTTTTCTGGTCTCTTCTGGCCAAATGCAATCAAGTACTGATGGCAGAGGATGGAGCCAGAGGCAGATTCTAGGGAAGAAAAAATAGAACACTATGACAATAAGAGACAGTTCAGACAGGCTGGAGGAGGAAGGGAATGGCTTGCTGAATAGAGTTCTGGAAGTGTAACTTTCTGCGTAAGGGTCAGGGATGGTGGCTCATGCCAGCTAACGGGCTAGGATCCCCTATCTGCAGTACTGTAGAAGCAGAATTCCAACCACATGAGTCCATCATTGAGTTCGCATTTGTGAAGACCAGACTCCACATTGAGAACAGAGAAAGGCTCCCTCTTTGCACGTACAACAAGGCAGCCTGAGGTCGGACAGTCAGCATAGGCAGCAGAGTTGTTACAGGATTTTGTTTGGGGCTCCTGTGAACAGTGTGATGTTGAGTGAAAGTGGAGTGTCCTCAGAGCAGGTAATGCTTCTTGCCAACAAGACACCAAAAGCCATATGGTGGAGGAGAGAATTGATCCCACATACACACAAAAAAATAAAATTTAAAATGTGGAAGGTATTAGCAGCCAGCATCAAATTAATAAAACAGAAAGGAGATAGACTTGTGTCTTTCTTCAGGACATGAGAGTAGAACAGAGTTTCTTTCCTGTACAACAAAGGGGTTTTAATGCAGAAGAACCCTGGGTATAACTTTATCACTGTGCTTAATCAGTGAGATGATAATTACTAATAAACATTTGAGGGCTGGAGAGATGGCTTAATGGCTAAGAGCACTGGTTGCTTTTGGAGAGGACCTAGATTCAATTCCCAACACTCACATGGCAGCTCACAACCGTCTGTAACTCCAGTCTTAGAGGATCCAGTGCCTTCTGGTCACTGCAGGATCCAGACATGCACATGATACACATATAAAAAAAGGTATATACATAAAAATTTTTAAATTGTTTAAAACTTTAAAAAAAAGAAGAAGAAGAAATATAGCTGGGTGTTGATGGTACATGCCTTTAATCCCAGCACTCAGGAGGCAGAGTCCAGGACATGCTCCAAAAAAGCAATACAGAGAAACCCTGTCTCGAAAATCAAAAAAAAAAAAAAAAAAAAAAAAAGTTTGAGTCAGCTGACAGGATGCTCAGTGGGAAGGGTACCTTCTGACAGGTCAGATGACCTGGGTTCAACCTCAGGACATACATGTGGGAGTAAGGAGTCAACTCTGACCTGCAAGTTTTCCTCTGACCTCCACACATGCACCATGATGTACACACACTAAAAATGTAATCAAGATTTTAATTGATAACATTTATGATTCCATAATTGTAAACTCGAATAGACAGAAACTTGTTCAATGGGATGGAGAATGTGAAACACTTTAACTAACATTATAGTTTTCTCTCAAGTAAAGTAAGGAACAAGGTGAGGGTTCGCTCTCCTTCTGCTCCTTTTTGCGCTGTTTGGGAAGTCACAGTAAATGCAGTATAACAAAAAATAAAATAAAAGACAAAGCTTGGAAGGAAAGGAACACTATGTTTACAGGTGGTATACCCATCTCTAGAAAATCCATAGAACTGACAGAAAAACTGTTGTTGATAAGCCATTGTAGAGAAAGCTGCAGTGTATAAGGTTAATACACAAAGCTCAGTTGCTTCCCTATACACAGCAGTGGACAGGTAGAAAATAAGGCACATATTTAACAAAATGCCTACCAAACTCCGATGGACATAATCAGAGAACTAAAGAGGAGACATTCCATGTTTGTGAATAACAAGTCACATGTTGTGAAGATATGAGTCCTCCCCAACCCGACTTATCAATTCAGAATAGTCCCAAAGTCCCATAAGTTATTTTGTGGATATAGACAAACTGATCGTAAAGTTTACACGGAGGGAGAAAAAAAGACTCAGAATAGTGAACCAGCATTGAAGTAAGAGAGTACATTTGGAGAACTTGACATCTGGTCTTCAGACTGACAGTCGCGCAGCAGGGTGGCGTGGCCATAATAACATGACCTGAGTTCCGTGCCTGAGACCCACACCCTGGAATCGACCAACAACCCGCTGAAAGTTGTCCTCTGACTTCCACACTCGAGCCATATGCGTGTACATAATAATAATAAATGGCAGAACAAAAACCTTAAACAAGTGAGCAGCTTGTTACTGGTGGGAGGACAGGCACATATACCATGTAATAAACAGACCAGTGCAGGAATAGGACCCACAAACAGACCCATAAATAGTGTACACTAGTCTTTAAGGTAGGCCTCACCAGGTTGCCCTCATCAGTCTTGAACTTCTGAGCTCAACTGATCTCCTGAGTCAGCCTTAGTCCCCCCAAGTAGCTGGGACCAAAGGTATGTTGCCACTGTTTCCAGTGGAGAGACTGATCTTTGACAAAAGAACAAAGACAATACAGTGAAGACAAGAAAGTTTTTCTAAGCAATGGTGCCAGAACAAGTACACAGCTATATGGAAAAAAAAAAAAAAAAGACATACATTACACACTTAGCAAAAGTGAACTTATCATAGAATAAAATATAGAGTATAAAACTAAACTTGAAACTCCATGGGAGGAGTGGTGTTTAGAGCCAGTGAGATGGCTCAGCAAATAAAGGCAATTTTTGCCAAGATTGACAACCTGAGTTCACTATCTGGGTCCCACATGGTAGAAGGAGAGAACAATTCTAGCAATAGTCCTCTAACATTCACATTCGTGCAATGACACATGCATGAACACACACATGAATACTTGGTTTATTTATTTAAAGTGTAGATGAGTTGAGGTATAGTGATTACTTGTAGAGACAACACCCCGCCATGGTGTCAATCCCAGTACTCAGGAAGTTGAGGTAAGAGTCACTTCCTAAGTTCAGTGCCAGCCTGTGTTGCATGCCTAGACGGAGAACAGAAGGGCAAGGGAGAGAACGCCACGGGCATGATGATGAAACAGTTGATAAGATAGACTTAATGAAAATTACAAAAATTTACACCCTAGGAAATACAACGTTAAGAGAATGAGAGGGTGAGCCAACACCCTGGAAGAAAATTCTTTAATGAGACACAGCTGACTAAGGACTGT